GCGATAAAACGATCGGACGACCATGAGGTCCTACAGCGTGACTTGAATGAGGCCTGGAATTGGTCGGTGAGAAACGCCCTGCCGTGTAATGTGAACAAATGTCGCGTTGTTCATATCCGCCATCGACAAGTCCACGTCTACAATCTTGGGGCACACGATCTGAAGACCACCACTCAGGAACGCGACTTGGGTGTGCTGGTACAAGAAGACCTCGGGTGTTCCAAACAGTCAGATTCCGCTTCTAAAAGGGGCAACCAGCACGTTGGACTCCTGCGAAGAGCATTCGGAATTTTGGATCCATCCATCTTCTCTTTGATGCTGAATGCCTACGTGCGTCCTCACGTCGAATATGCAATCCAGGCCTGGCAACCCTGGCTAAAACGTGACCTTGCAGCGCTTGAGACCCCACAGCGTCGAGCAACGAAAATCGTCAAGGGCTTGCGCCACACTCCTTACCAGGAACGACTGGAGATACTCGGAGTGTTCAGCGGACGGTACCGGCGACTTCGTGGAGACCTCATACTAGTGTACCAGATATTGAGCGATCCCAGTCACGTATGCCGCCACCTCTTGAAGCTCAGCCCGAACACTAACCTACGCGGTAACAGTTTAAAGCTGAGCCAACAGTACAGTCGTCTAGACTGTCGGAGAACCTATTTCTCCCTCCGGGTTTGCGGGCCCTGGAACGCCCTTCCAAACTCAGTTGTTTGTGCCCCCACATTAGATACCTTTATAAAACAATTGGACGTCGCACTGAACGCCTTACGCTTTGTTTTTTGAACGAAAACGCTTGTATATATTTAGGCTGACCAGCCTCTTTGGATTTATACCCCAAATTCACGGTCGTAAATCTGTGCGAACCGGTGAGTACTCCATTTTTATTTGCTACCATCACCAACGATAACAATTTCTTAGCCAGTTTTGAGCCGTACCACTTTATCCCCCTAAAACTGTTATACTTCTACCTTTTATCTCACTGACACTCCTTACTTCAACCACTTGTGTGGTTTGCCAATTTGTTAGTATTTCTATTGCCAACCTGCGGGACTCGTTAAGTGTATGCTTTTTTACCCGTCATATACCATTGTTCCATTGTTCCATTGTTCCACTGAGTACTCACTTCTGGTGGCAGAAGTGAGGGTTAATGACACTATATCCGGTCACATTAGCTTTGACACAGCGTCTTTCGACCTCGTGTGGTATTTAAGGAGGAACCAGGTGACCAACGCAGAATTCCTACGCTCTAGGACGCGGCCGCGATTGTCTGCGACTGCTTATGCATCTCACCTACGAACAGCTGAGACTTATTCACAATTACATTCGCAGGGAAGGCATTCTCCAATCTGCAACCTGCGGCGCGCCCAGTGGCGTGCAGCTTTGTCTAACCAACCAGTGGTCGGTTCACTTTCGGTGCTATAAGTTATTCGGAGATTAGAATACCGTTATTAACATAAATATAAATCGGCAGCTGTACGACGTAGCGACACTATGCTGCCACGTGACTACCACCAGTTGCGCGGGGGTTGAGTATACCGCGAGGATGACCACCCCTACTCTGATCCGAACCGGTGACTTTATGGTTGCAAACCAGGCGCACAGAAAACTCGGCCACCGACCGACGATATCGTTTTTGCCTGTGAGCCCGAAAGTCTTGATTTCGTAAGCAATATGTATATGAAAACAGTACAGTTAGTTATTTGATGACCTTCCACAAATATAAGGAAATAAATAGGTGGTGCGTTCCTCGGAAGTGCGAGCAGCGATGCGACAAACACTGTTTGTAGTTACATCCACATCATACCACATAGATTTGGAGAGAACATAACGAGTACACACATGTCTTTCAGCAGGCATATTGCAAGTAAATCCTTGCTGTGTTGCACCAATGCACATGGCAGTAACGCCATCATTCCGGATGCGTTCATCGCCGCGCAAATACCGGTGACACAGTGGGTTCGCTACACTTATGTTTTAAGTATAGCCTTCAAATCTGCGGTTGACTAATGGCCAGTGGCTTAAAAGAATCAAATCGAATATTGCACCATTTGTGCAACTGTACAGGGTAGAAACAATTCCACTTATGACTGATCCACCTTCTAATGCAATGTCACGCAAGACGAGTCCAAACCTAACAGAACGTACAGTGGCATCTGTCCCTCATCAGGTAGATCCAGGAGTAAAAGTTGCCACAATTAGGGTAACTAAGATAACACAGAAGGAAGCGATGTTTTGGTAGCTACGAAAAAATTGTAAAAGCCAGGCAAAATAGGGCAATCACTTTTGGAAAGTGAATAAATATTACCGCATTTAAACGATAGAAAATGTTGGACCAAGTGAAACAACGTCAGCTTTGATGGATCACCAACTTGCACACCTTAGTGAGTGCAAGCGCCTTGTATCTATTTGCTAAATTAGCACAACTTGGATCAGCTAAACAGCTGCCAGCCCATGGCCTTGTAGAGAACTTGCCTGCCTTGTAATCTCCGAGGCCGCTGGTTCGATCCATCGTAGGTACAGGGCGACTTTCGCAGTGTCCTCAGCCCAAACATGATTATTGGTGGTTGCGCTTCAGCGAAGCGTCGGTACTGCGTACCGGTGTGCGGCTGATTCCAGCTAGACAGATATCGCAGTTCCACAGTTGGCATAAGGCTGCTTTGTCTTACCAGTAGTAACTCTTGAAACGCTTTCGGTAGACGACTGTTGCTTTTCAGAGACCAGATTACAAGACTCTAGCGCCGTCATCAGAATGGCCTCTCCGGTAAACCCTGACGCCAAATACCACTTGCTGCTTTCCGAAGACCCAGTAGCTGCCGCCACTTACCAAGCTGGTATTGGGGTTGCGCTGAGTTCCAGGGTTGTAACAGCTCTGCTTGACTCTATCCCAGTCAACAGTCGCCTATGTGCAGTCAGGCTACGCGGTTCAGGTAAAGTAAGCAGGCGTCGAGACGTTAAGCGTGCATTGTTTGTCGTCTCCACTTACGCCCCTACAGACTACAGCCCGGATGCAGTTAAAGATGGCTTTTATCAGCAGCTACATGAACTTCTGCGTTCCTCCAAAATGACTGATTTAGCCATTCTTTCCGGGGACATTAAAGCACGAGTGGGCGGCCTTCCACCGATCGAGCACCACCTTGGAGGTTGGCAGTCGATCAGACAATGAAGAGAGACTGGATGCTCTTTGATCTGATCATCGCTTGTTTCTTTCGAGCACTAGATTTCGGCACTCGAGGAGCCACACTGCTATCTGGCGTCCGCCCTCACAAACGCAAGAGTGCTCTCAGCTTGACCACATAGCAATCAGCTACAGATGGCGCGGAAGCGTAACTGACTGCCGATTGTACTGGTCAACTTACCTAGTCTCCGATCACGCATTGGTTTGTGCTAAGTTTTGCATGCGTTTCGGAGGATCACCTAATGGCGCTCACTACTGACCGGAGGTCGCAAATCTACAAAACCCTGCGATTTTAACTAGGGACCAAGCCTCACTGTCAACCTTACTTGGCTCAAAATTTAACGGTGATCTCGATTCGCAGTGGGCGCATATCAAAGATGCCTTAGTTTCCGCCAGTATCGACACTTGTGGAGTTGCCCGTCACCCACCGAAGCTTTGGATTTTCGCTGTCTCCTTGTCTCTGATGGACAAACGCCGCTTGATCCCTTCGAATTCCAGACACAGTGAAGAACGCCAATGCTTTGTTCGAGACTTGCGCAGGAGCCTGCAATAGGAACGCGAAGCTTGGAGGTATGAACGTGCTAGGGAGATGGAGCTTTCTAGTCTCTCTCGTAATACCAGAAGACTTTTCCATCTCATTCGAAGGTCACTCGAAGGTGTTCGATCTGGTATAAGCGAAACAATCTGCGAAGAGGATGGCACCTTAATCACCAATCTGCAGCGACGGTTGGATCGATGGGCCGAATATTTTGGCTCGCAGTTT